TTACACACGTCAACTTGCAAAAGACAAACGACGCCCCGTCCAAACAATTGACTTTTCCTTTTACCAAATAAAAGGCGAACACAAAAGGCGAACGCCTGAAACAGTTTGATTGTTTGCTGTGAAACCCCAAGCCCATTAAGAGCGTTTTGTGTGTGTTTGTCTGTGGCACAACACACGCGACATTTACGTAAACTTTGAGACTAATAAAAAAGCCAGCACACAAAGCAGGCACAATGCAACATTGACTTGTGGCATTTGCCACATCTGTAGCTGCAAACTGCAAGCTGCAACCGGGAAACGGGCCAGCAATGTACCGCTTCAGACTGCTTTATTTCTTTTTCAGTATTCCTTCTCCGTCTGCTGGATTGGATGGATCCCCGCTAGCGGTGATTGTGCCGATTTGTTTCTGCCTCCCCTTCCCTGCCGCGAGTCTCTGATGCTCTTTTGCTGTCTTTTCATTAGCCATGGAAGATGCAGCAGACTCTGGCTCTGAAGATGGCAAAACTATGGCAAACATGCTGCTGCTGCAGCTTCTTTTTGCAGTTTGTCTTCGTCGGCCGGTCTTCGGGCTGGAAAACAGCAGCCCACATTAATTGCCAGCGATTCCAGACCACAAAGCCAGCTGACTTTACAAAATATGGTGTTCTCCGTCATGGGAATGGGATGCTCTTCCTTTGGGACTGGGACTGGGACTGGGGTAGTGATAGGTTTGTAGGAAGATTTGCCTGCAACGTAGAAAGCGTATCAGCAATTGATCAAATATAAATAGTTTTGGGAATGTGTTTTTGGGAACATACATCATAGGATACATATAGACACATTTTTCAAATGTCGTGGATTCGCTGTGAAAATTTCTCATAGACCGACCATTCGGCACATTCGAAATATCGAGTGCCTCGACAAAAACGTACCGCATTCACGAGTAAACCCTGAATGATAAGAATGGAACTGTGGCATTACTTATGCATATGTATAAATTATCTGTTCAATCTTAAAAATTCTTCGAAGTGCATCCAATGGCCACGTCGCTGTTTCCCCGTCTGGTGGCCTTTTATGAGGCCACTGACAAAACACTGCGGCCATGTAGAATGGTAAAGCAAAACGGCAATATCAATAACAATAACAGGTGTTTGGGCTGGCGATGCATTTGATTTAGCATTAATAAATGGTTAATTAACGATGATAACATGGAACAAATGGCGATCATTAATCAAAATGGATTTTGAAAGGCGAAGCCCGAATGGATTTTCCTGCGAAATTTCACAAAATTGCCGCCGCAAATGTTGGTTTTTTAGCTGTACTTTTTGTTTGGCTTGGATTTCCTTTGCCATTCGTAATAACGATCTGGCATCGAGTGAATAAAACGAGACGCGGTAGTCAGTCGCAGTCGACAGCTTCCCACGCCAGAGGCCATTGGCAGAGGTGTGGGTGAAGCCACGGAGTAACACGAAAAGTTCAAAATAATTTCTTCATTAAAAAAAAAGAAAGAGACAATTGCGGAGAAAAGGCCGGGACAACAATTGCGATGGAAGCTGAACAATTTTGGATGAACATTTTGGGGGCCATAAACAAACGCGGCAGCTGCACGAATAACTGTTATTTAACTGTTGGTTAACATGCAATTAACCTCGCGTTAAATACTAAAAAATGCAAATATGTATGGGCCAGGCCAGACTCTCGGTTCGGGTTCAGCTGCTCTTGAGATGAGATAAGCCCCAAAATGTGGAGCCCGAACTATCCATAAAATGTGGTGCAATAACTTTCTAACCAGCCATAGACTCGGGGTCATTCATCTTAATTATCACACGGTGAGGAAAAGCCACGAAAATTAAACAAAATGTTGCCTTAATGCTTGGAAATTCATTAGGCAGAGCCCCCAAAAACCACTCGTAATATAATCATAGTATTCCCCCCCGGGTTGGTCTGCAGCTTCTTAAACACTGTCCGTTGACCCATTTGAATTTGTTTGGTAAGTCCAAGATCGGACCAAGTCTCAGACAAACGATGTTTGTGGTGCCTCAAATTAGTGGAGAAAGAAGAAAGCTCCGATGGGTGGGGTGGGGCAGGGGTATTCTTTATGGGTATGGTATGGGTTTGCGTAGAAATTGTTCCCACCTTTATGGTTTGTTTTGGGCCTTTTCCTTTCTTTGTTCCCAGCATGGGATGCCGTGTGTTTATTCGTGGTTCTGGGGTACCTCCGTTGGTCTTGTTTCTGACATTTAATCACCGGAAGCCATCTGTGAGCCGAGCATCTGAAGAGGCAAACTTAATTACAGAAAATCTCTTTTCGGTTGTCTTATTTCATCTCCAGCTGGGCCCCTGATTTGGATAAATCTGTTTTCTATTCAAACTGATTCACATCCACAGACAAGCCTATGGCTTCGTTTCCCCTATTATTTGCTTTTGAATTTCGGCCAATTAGACACGTTTCTTGTCTGTCGCTTGTCGTTCACTGGGATCCATTATGATTGATTGTGGAGAATAATGTGTCAACTTCTATCTACTATCTTTCGTGGCTTTGACGCATTCGTTTGTCAGTGCTGTTCTACTTTTATCGGTAGACTAGTGCTACGCGTATTCTAATTAATTGGTTGGAGTTTCAGTGGAAACGATAGCGAGATGTAATCATGAAATAGTACATAATTGCAAAACGATTTCTATACGCAGAAAAGAAAGAACTTGAGCTTGAGATGTATCAAATAAAAACAATTTTCCTCCATAGGATGTACGCAGACTGACCCTATGGGAACATAAATATATACCAGTTTTATTTGCATACCAGAAGTAATTTTCGGAAGGAGATTTCACAAACAGACACTTTGAACCATAACGGGGTCTTTTGAGCCATGGGGCATTCTATAGGGGGCAAGAGTTTACCTAGTTTTTCCTGATCTGGACAGAAGCAACGTTTCTCTGCGCAGATGCTTTCTTGTACTGGCTGACTGTACGAATCTACAGAGGGCGATTGTTTCTGTCAAGTCTGAATCTGGAATGCTCGCAAAATGCTGGATCAATATCAAAATCCTAATAGAATCTAGTATTTCCACTGCGTTTAGCTGGGAAAACATATTACTCCATGGATGAGCTTGGTATCGGAACCTACACACATATTCATGCGTGTAATCAGTCATCTGCCAGTCTTACCAAGGCGTCTTATTCTAGTTACAACATAAAGGTTAATACATTTTCTATGCTAATTTGCATTACACTCATAAACTAACATAGTTTTTCCAATGAAATTAGATAGAAAACATTTTGTTGGGATATTTCTTGGTATCGATACCCACTGCAATCATCGTTGCAGTTTGCCAACAAATGTCTGTTAATCTAGTGACCACATAAAGGTTAATTAATTTTCCATGTTGACATGCGACTTGACGCGCAATAAATGCATCCACACACTCGTATGCGCGCACACTCGTATGCAAAATGCAAATTGAAACATTTAAGTGCTACTGTTCACACCAAACATTTAAATGCTACCTGTTCACACTCCTCACCTGCTTGATGAAATTAAACGGCGGCATTTTGTTGTCCAATTTGTTGCGGCTCCCGCGACGCAGATCTCTGCGATATGCAGCAACACTAATGCAGCTTCGGTTTTCTTGTACTCTTGCGCCGGCGCTTTGCAACTTTAAATCAAACAATTTTAATTGTTTCGCACTTACACATTTGCTTCGTTTATTGCTGTCACCTTCTTCTGCTGGCTGCGCGCTCTATTTGGCTGTTTTCGCTGATTTGCTTTCGGCGCCTTCTTCTCCCACTTTGCTTTTGTCGTCTTTTTCCTTATTCGCTCTGGCCACTTCTGGCAGTTTACCGTTTAGCCGAGAGAGAGAGACTGGGAAACACACCAAAGAGTGAAAGAGCCCGGGAGTCTGTTTGTGTTTTGTTTTTTCACTCTGCAATTACCGCCCGGCGTTTCGTTAATAACTTTTTGTGGCTTGCAAAAATATGAAAAACTCAAAAACTATTTGCCGCACTTTCCAAACAAATTAACCCGAATTACGTATGTATTTGCAAACCGGAAGCAAAAGCCAGCGGTAAATAAGGCAGCGCAGCTGTTCCCGCGCAGGAGTGAAGTGAAGCCAGGTATTAGTACTGTGCGTGCGATCCGGTCGCTACAGATCTGGCTTTAACCCCGTGAAAAGTCGGCTTACGACTGAAGCCCCCGAACTGGAAAACTTCAATTGAAGCGGCGCGATCGCATGGCAAGGCAGCAGGCTGGGGCAACGACGCTGGCGTCAGTGAGTGGAGTGGTGACCCTTTCCAGGTGCGGATGTGGCCGGGCAGTGGGTATATTAGGCAAGTGGAATGCAAAGTTAAGTGTACTTTTGTGAAAAGTTTCGGCTTGCTTTTGTTGAAATTTATGCGTTTTTCAGGAGTGCAGTAAACGTGTAATCGTATCCCTGCCCATCGATATTTGGCATTGTGGTAGTATGGCACTACACTTAAAGAAAGTCGAAGAAGCGTGGCACTATTTTTGCCTAAAATATGCCCCCAATGAGGTAAGTCAACATTTCTGCCGCTGCCCTGCCACCTTGTGCCCCTACCACCCTGTATGACATTAGACTAGCTGCTGAAGCAGAGACAGCCTTTATGTGAAAACAATGCAGTAAGAGTGAGAGATACGTATGTTTATATGCGTCCAGTTGATTATCGAATGCTGTCACAAATAGTGCTTCAATTCTTCGACGGCTGCGAACACTAATTTCAGCGATTTTAGCAGATTCTTATGTTATAACAGCTGTAGGAATGTCTGTTGTGAATGTATGCAAAACAAGAGACCAATATAAGCTAGGTATCTACATTTGGAATGGAATACCACTCCAACCAAGGGTACCATGGAGGCGACCCCAACCCAATTCCCCTTACAAAATAAACCATTCATGAGGGACAAGTTTTGCGCTCCGCTGCTCGCTAGTGTCAAAATGCCGGCCACTGCGCTCCAGAGACATTACCATCTATACACAAACCAAACTCTTTTCATGTGCTGACTGAGGGTTCCCAGAACTCCCCGCGTTTTGTTATTGTTTTATTGTTCTTTTAGTATGGCACTCACTGAAAAATGTCGTAAAACGAGTGGCGGTGAACCTGCACCGGATGACGTCACTCGTCGGAGGGAGTAACTGAAGTATCCAGTTCTTCGCGCTTTAGAATTATTTGACCCGTCTTGACCACGACACGGGCATTGGTTATCTCATGCAGCATACGCTCCGAGGCGAACCGCATCCCCATGACGGTGGGGTTCAAAACGGCCTTCATCTTCCCCACAACGGACACAAGATTGTCAAATGTGTCCACAATGTTCCCTTGGACATCCTCGTCGGCAACGACGATTTTCTCCGATGTCATCACACTATTGTGAGCTGCTCCGGCGTTATTTTGGCCCTGCGATGCGGACAGCTGCTTCAGCTTGGCCTGCATGAACTTCGTGTAATCCAGTTTAGCCATCACCTGCTTGTACTCGCAGGCGTAGGCCAAGGCGGCGGCAGTCTGCTGCCGCGATCGGGTGCGCAAGGAGCCAGACCCGTCAGCAGGGGTCGATGGGGATGGTTCCAATATAGAACCGCCGCGGTGGTTCGATGCAAATACTCCAGAGCTAGGTCCGTGTGCTGGTCCGCCAGCAGAGGACGATGAGGAACCGCCTAAAAAAGTTGATGTGGGGGGTCCGTATGCAGTGCCATTACCAGATGATACACGAGTAATCTCAACGCGTGGCGGTTTTTCCTCCACAGTTGCCATCTTGATGTCCTCTTCGTTGGCCTTCGTTGATTCCTTCTTCTTTCCGCCAGGAGGCAAAGCGGTGACTGTTAGATCGCTATACTTTGAGCGAAACGATTCTAGGTCCATATTTTTCGTATTTCTCGTAAATTATGCGTAATTTTATCTTTCAGTTCGAGCAGACTAAATGAAATGTGAAAGAAATCGTACCCGACTGAAAAAATTTGACATTTCGGAAAAAATGTTGCGAAATACGCTTCAGATTCAAGCTGGCAATGACACAAATGGCAAATGACACAACGCTATTATATTGCATAGAATCGTATCCAACTTTATCCAGCCATGGAATTCTTGTTTGTACATCAAGAGATTCTAAATTCATATAACATTGATTTCCAGCTTCATATGAACGCCACACGTGACCTGAAGGGCTCATTGAACTTGTGGTGGCGGTCCACGTCCAGGATCGTCCAATACCTGTTTGGCTCTTTTCCCCTTTTTGGCTGACGTGCTGATAATTACCGGCTACGGAACAAAATACGTTCATAAACAGTTCATTCTACTGTCCAGTCTTCTGCTGCTAGTGCTGCTGCTGCCGCCGGAAGGCGCTCAAGCGTGCTTCCCGTGTTGCGCAGGCGCACGCCAGCATGTTACCCCAATTTTTTGCCATGACTCATGGTATTCAAAGTACACTTTGGGTTCGTGGTAGTTATTGTTCTTACTCAGCATGCAAATTTTGTCCAGAATTTCGGTCTAACAATCATGGTTTGTGTGTGTAATGTTATGTTTGGTGTATAACAATGTTGTATGCTACAGTCGTCTGGTTTTAGATCTATTTAATTGCTACTCTGCTCTCGGGAGCGAAGAATTTCGTCGAGATTGCCCTTGGTCGCCTCGCCGCACTCGTACCGATGATAGTCGACAACAGTGGTCTCGTGCTCCTTGAGAATTTCTCCGACAGTTCTGTCCGCGTCCAACAGATACTCCTGATGAATGAGGCACGTCTCGTCGTCCTTGTTCTCGACCGGCTTGTCCTTGTCGTATTCACCAATCTTCTTTGGCTTCAGGCCCACAATTTGCTGGCAAATGCTTTTTTGGAACTCATAGTCCGGATACTTAATGTCGGAACGGAATGCCATAATGGTACCGTATTTGCCCACTTGTGTGGTGTCGTCAGTGGTGCCCACATTGGTGGGTGCTGGATGTGCATAGCCGCACAAATTAATGTCATGTTTGGCCTTAAAGCAGATGGCTCGCTTGATGGTGGCATTCTCCCCCACGGCGCCAATAAGTAGGGCCAAATGATCGCCCAAATTGCGGCCTTTATCCGTAGGAAGATTCCTCAAAGCCTCTGATTCGTAACCAAGCTGATAAAATAGAGGTTCGAAGTGTTAGCAAACGAAAGATGAACAAAAAACAGGAATGTATAATTACCTTCCAGAGATCTCCGTCAAATTCGATAGCTTCCGTGTATTGCAGGCAGATCCGTGCGACATGGTCCACGAAGCGCTTGAAGACATCATTGCGTGCCACAAAATCGGTCTCACAGTTGAGTTCCACCATAGCGCCCAGATTGCCGCGTACAAGAACCCCAACGAGGCCCTGGGCAGTGGCACGATCTGCCATTTTCGTTGCCTTGGTCCAGCCGAGACTCTGTGCCTGTGCATGCAGCCATTTCTCCGCCTGTTCCAAAAAGCGAGAGAGACTGGTATTAAAATCTCTGCGAGAATAGAGTTCTGGATGATTGGGCACTCACCTCACTGACATCGTTGTTATGCAACTCCAGGGCCTTCTTGCAGTTGGCGAATGTGTAGCCGGTCTTCTTGCGTAGGGCGGACAGGGCACTCTTCTCCAGGCCGGCGCCTGATCCACTGGCATACACCATTCGCGTGGTGTGCAGGGCACGCATGTAGAACTTTTGTAGCAACATTGCAGGTTTTTATTTGATTTTTCTTTTACTTTTTTTCTGGTAGAGACCTAGGGGTATGGTATGGGGTGACTTGTTGCTCTGGGCCGGCTGCTGCTATGGGCAACGCCGGTTGCTTGTTTTTCCGACTTTTCCAAAATCAATTCAAAATAAACAGGAAACGTGTGGCATTTGCATTTGTTTTCAACACGTTCTCGTATGCTCGGATAAAATAAAAGCCGAAAAAATCGCGTTGCGGCGCGTACTAAATAAACAATTTTGTGTGCTGCAATAGAATTACGACTGGTAAGTCGATGTTTTAACCTAAACTAAGTGAAGTAATTTTAAAAAGAAATTTATAATTTTCCGGGTTGCACAATTTTGTGGGTGTTAGTGGTGGCAAGGCAGCAGCCGGGTATCATGTGTTCGACAGCTGATTGCTATCGATACTATTGCAAGCCGGCGTTGCCACCCAGCAACTAGCGAAGACTACAACCACCACTTTCCTCATGAACCGGTTATAATTAAAATGTAAATTCAAATTCGCTTCTTGTTACAGACCGCAACATGCAGAACCGACAAAATCCCAACAGGGATATACCCAGCTTTACGTCCATTTGCGGCGCCCGCCGCATATGCGAAAAGTCCAAAATGCTCTACACCCGGCCAAAGCCGGATGTGCTGCAGAGTATCCTCCAGTCGAAGGCCAATCCCGAGTACAAATCCCGGCGCCTCTGGTACGAACTGAATATGCCGGAGTGCACGAGTGGGCTACTGGATGGGAAAATGCTCTCCGAGCTGCCCGAAAGCATACTCTGCCCCAAAAAGCGTGCACGGCGCAAGCGGGAGGAGAAGAAAGCGGAGACTGAGCGGAAAGGCAAAGCCAACTACATGCTGATGCGGGTGGAGCGCGAGCTATTCCGCCGGAAACTGGTCGAGTTGATTCTGCACATGGACGATGATCAGGACGCGGAGCATGTGGGCGAGTGTCAGATACCCTTTCCCGACAAGGACGAGAAGGAGACCCTGCGCTACTATTACTACATCAAGCATGGCATCGACACCATCCATGTGTCGCCGCTCAGCCGAAAGATCCTCAAGAGGTGCGAGAATCTGTTTCGAAATATATCATTCCCTTTGTACCCATATTTCTTTGCAGGATTACGGACCTGGTGCCGGCGTTCCTGAACAAATGGCAAACAGCTCTGAATGAGAACATTGCCGAGGTGCGTGCGGACTATGTGTTTGCCATGAAGAAGGCCGTCGTTGACTACGTGCTACGTCACACGGCTCTCGATCGGCTGACAAAAGAGGGTGCCACTAAATTTTTGGAAACCCCAGAGCGTCGTGAAGTGAAGCTTTTGACAAATCATTGGCGTTTTCGGTGAGTTTTCTTTCGTAATTATAAGGAAAAAAAGAAGGTAAGCACCATTTTTCGATGCCAAATATGAAATATAAATCCAGATTTCCCCATCATAAATCGGAAATCATCATATTTGAAATGAACAAAGATCTATAATCTCTTCTGATTAAAAAGCCTAAAGCTTTTATTTTCATTTCATAAGTTTTCGCCATGAATTGAGAATCGAAAATGAACTTCGACCTTCCTCTGAAAATGCGAGATTCATTTTTTTAATTAAAATAAATTATACCCATACCCAGCAGCACCCGCACCAGCCGCAAGTAAATCGTGCGCTTACAATGAGCCACACAAAAAAAAGTAGAAATGAAAGAAAAAGTTGCCATAATTGAATGCGAGCGTTGGGGCTTCCCCTTTTCCGAAAAGAAGCGTGCAATTGACATGCAATTACATCCACACATCCACACAAACACTCGAGCACACCGGATCCGGATCTGGATACCACCCACATGTGTGGAAGTGTGCTGGCTGGCTTCATTGTGGATTAAAATCCCAATCGGATTTTTATGAAATGAATTGCCGCCCTTTGAGTTGCGGCAACGCGCGAAATCTTATGAAAATAACCTCATCTCAATTTGCGCCGGCAGTGACAGAGACGCTGACGCTGACAAAGTTGCCCGGAGATCCTGCCTTCTGCCTCTCTCTGGGAGTGAAAATAACGAAAGTCGCGCGACATTATTAAAAGCTTCTTGCAATGGGGAAAACGCGAGAAATCGCTTTGCGGCGTGCCAAAAACTTTTTAACCGCACTTTTTCAACTACAATGCCACGGAAATGGAAAAAGCAGCACCACAGCATCAGGGCCAAGGCAACAACAAATTTAAAGAAAGGCTAGAAAAGGGGGTCGAACCATGAGATACTCTTAGAGATCCGTGGATCTTAACCACAGCTTACAATTGACGATTCCGATTAAGATTAAGACTCCGTGTCAAGTTTCAGACGGATTAGACAGATTTAAAACTAAGAAATACGAGTTTGATGATGGATAAGGAATAACCACAATGGGGTCGCACATAGGTCCTTCCGTTCGTTGCAAACTTCTTGTAAAATGCATCAATACCTCGTCAAGGGTATTTCAAACAAAAGCAAAAGCAGCGGCAACAGAAAGTTAAGTCCTCCTGTGTATTGGTTTGACATTTGATGAGCAACAGTAAGCTGACTGGAAGTTGCTGGAGGAGGGGAGGCGGAAGGAGGGAAGCCCAGAGAAGATGGAAGATGCTGCTTGCTGCGAGTTTTTGGGTTGGGATTTGGTCAGGAGCAGGAGCACGGGAGCACGGGGGCGAGACATAAATTGCAAAAAGGATATGCTTAAAAATGAATTGAACTTGTTTCTGACACTGAGTAGTAAGCCGCTTGGGGTGGGTGGAAGTGTGGCTGGGCGGTTCTTGTGGGATACATCACCGCATTTTGAGGGTATAGTTTATAGTTGTGTCGGCTAGCGATGTGCAAGTGTTCTGAAACGAGATGACAGGTAGATCGATAGCATCTAACCACTAACCATACTTTATAAACATAGATGAACTGTATCACTTCATAAAAGCGAAATGTCTCAACAGAACTTTTAGACCTCTGGGAGCTCTTTTCTCGCCTCTTTGCACCAGCGAGTTTGAATGTGTGCGTGTAAGCCGATTCTCACAGAATGGTCTTTGCCTTCGCATCAGAGAGCGAGAAATGGATAAATAATTTATAATTTTATGTGCAATCGGTTTAGCCCATTTCATACCTCATCTTTATATTAGATATCTTTGTATATATGTATGTATTGTTTCATATTATTAGCTATAGCAAAGTCTAATGTCATAATACCATTATCAGGCGCTCCTAAGTGGGTCGCTTGGCAAATTGGGCGACGGCATATCGATGTATATGTGTGGAAGCCCCGCAGCCGTGTGAGGTTCGCTTCGGTAATTTATGGCCCTTTGAGCATTTGGCATCATTAAGAATGCCTCTGGCGTCTGGGTTGCGTGGTTGCGTGGGTGCTGTGGAATGGTTGTGGTTCCCTGCCATGCTTAATGGGCTGTGACGAAGTACCTCGAGTGAAAAGTTTTAGCGAAGACGATAGCAGATAATTTGCATAGCCAACTAACGCCACGCTCTCGTCCTATCTCCTCCAGCTATGATGAGAACCGCAATCGACTGATGAAAACGCTGTTCAGCATACATCGAAGTGTGGCCAGCATTTTGGAGCTGTGGAGCGTGAAATATATCAACAAAACTTTGGTCGACATTCAGGAGCTTAGCAAGGCTGAGGGCCCATACACATTGTTCGGATTTGCGGTAAGATTAGAGCAGGGATTACCGTAACAATCCACCTTCAAATTGGTTCCGTTTTTTCGCCTGGCAGTACCAATGTGGAACTTATATAGATACAGTAAAGACCATGCTGGATGAGACATGGTATGGGGAGATACACTCGACTCTGCTGAAGGCCAGCAAGCGCGGACAGTTGCCGGATATCAGAAGAGTGACCCTGGTGAAGCGTTTCTTCAACTGCGTGGCGGCACTGATGACCCAGCAGCTGGAGGACATCTGCATCAGGAGTCTGAAGGCCTATGCCGACTTTGTTTGCGATTTCGGGGTGAGTAAAGAGCAATTCGTAAGGTTTAATAGATTAATGAAGTGCCATCCCCTCGACAGCATCTAAATCCTGGCTTTGAAATCTCTGTGATGCTTAGCGATGAGGATACCATCAGCTTTAATCCGGGCTTTTCGAAGATCCAAAGCGAATTGCTACGTGTCATCGATTCGATTGTGATGAGTGTCACCATGTTGCCACGGATTGAAAGCAAGCTCTACACGGATCTGGTGATATCCAAGAAGATGTTCCTCACGCCCGCCGTGCCGGATAGTATAGTGCAGGACACAAAGAACCGGATTTGTTCCCTTTTGGAGGAACAGCGTATTGGGCCCGAGCTGCGGCTGCAGGACTTTGATCAGTTCATCGATCTCATTAATGGAATCGACGCGGAGCGTGTGGCCAACTTTATGGAAGGCGAAGCCACCTTCGATCAGTATGCAGAAATGGTATACGAGTACAAAGAGAAGGAGGATCGCATTGCTAGGGAAGTGTGGAGCGTTATACGCATGGGCCTGTACGAGTTTCATCGCGAGAAGTTCATTCTGCATCTTGAGACACTGGCGAGGCAGCTGCAGAACGAGCTACTCACCCGAATGGTGACCGATCAGCAGCAGAGAATCTCCCGATTGGGCAAGGAATACGATGCCATCGCAAAGAAGGCCTTGACTGTGCCGAAAGACACCGCAGAGCTTATGGAATTGAAGGCTTATGTAGTGCATGCAGAGGAGAATCTCGTGCCCGAGATGGAGGCCCGTCTGAAGGTCAATATGGGGGAAATTTTGTGGCTAATGGATCATACGCTATACTCCCCGCTGGAGATCAAGAACAACAGCAACTCCTTCCAGTGGTACCTGAAGCTGCCCTCCGTATTCGAGCAGCACCGCGCCATCATAGCCGAGAAGATGATCGAGTACCAGGAGCTGCTGAAGAAGCGCATCGACCTGTTCCGGCGCGAACTGCAGAACTACTACGAGCAGGTGCAGACCTACGACACATGGGGCGACATCAAACAGCTGCAGCGGTACAAGAAGAGGGCCAGCCTACTGGATCAGCGTCTGGTTCAGGCCATGGAGACTATCGATCAGATCAACGAGGAGGAAACTTCCTATGGCTGGGATCTCTCGCAGTATCCGATGCGCAAGAAGGCCCACGATCAATTGAAGCCCTACAAGAATCTCT